TTGGATTATTTTTATTTTCTTTTATTTTTTTGTATTATTTCATTTGCAGTACTACTATAATTATGAGTGCCTACAAGTACCTACAAAGAAGAAATTGTATCTTTGCATTGTGCAAAGAAACACAGCTGTTGCCTTGAGCCATATACTGCACAACAGAACCAGATTCACCACAATGTTTATTGTATCGCTATGGAACAGCCTTCCTTCTTGTCCCACACCCAAAGGCACGACTGGCTCACAGCTGGAAATACTGATGTACAGTTAGTCACTTTTTGCCGTGTTAATCAGCAGTTCAGTTTTATAGACCTGAGCATGACACTCTGCCTGGGTGCTCCTGTTCAGGATGTTCTTGCCCTGCCCAGGGTGTAGAGCAGGAGACGTCCCTGCGCTGCATAGTTCCCATAGCTATCTCCTGCTACTTGCACACATGTAAATACTGACATTTTTGTTTCCTGGCTGAAAAACTAAAACAACATCTCTTCTTGCCTGCCTAAACCACTGAAATTAATATACGACAACCCAAGAATTCTTGTCTGCGAGGAAAGCAGCAGCCACAAAGGCATGCCAACAGTGACATGCAACAAAAACCTAAGCAGTGGAAGCAACACAGCAATAAATTGCATATTAACCCGCTGAACTAAATCGTATTTCAAGAAAATGTGTAGTGCCAGGCAGTCCAGAAAACCTCAAGTGAGATTGTACTTCATCCTTGAGAGATGCATTATCAAAGAGGGTTTGCAAATTCATATGGCCACAGCTTTAACACCTTATTAAAGGTGCTTTGAAGCCATGAATATTAAAAACCACCAACATCTAAAAATCCCCACAGCTCTCAGCAGGATTCTAAGTCCTGCACAATTTTTCAGGTGCAGTCAACAATCAGAAAATTTCCCCTAAACTGGATCTTGAATACAGTATGTTTTTTTTATATATATATGCACACATGCAAATACACGCACATATTTGTATGTATACACATATACCCCCACATACACACTGTACTCTATATATATACTGTATATTCTATAGTATGTTCCTCATGTCACCTTTTACAAATGCAGGTACAGAAGATATTTGGAGGACATGGAGAAGAACTCAGCATCACTGACTGCAAATCAAAACAAAAATTCTGAATGCACATCCTCCACTACTTTTTTTTCTGAACACCACCCCCCAACTCCAAACTTTCTATTGTCAGTAGTTATTTTAGATACCCATAAAGCTTCCACATAATTTGCCATTTTCTAGCACTACTTTCACTTGGTTCTTCTAGTCCCATCTATTTAGTTGACTTCATTTTACAGTCACCTGGTACACCAACACAGAAACGTTCTCCCGGATATCTCCCCCTACATTTCAGTTTTACATGAATTGATTCCCTGGATTTTTTTCTACTTGCCTGCCATGCATTCACAAAGAACACACCGACTTCAAAAGACAATCCTTCCTCTTGAAGTTCTGTAGACTCAGGTGCTGAAGGACAAAAACCCTCCCCAGCTGATAGTACTCTGCAATTGCAACAGGGGCAGTGATGGCCAAAAATAACACAAATCAGAGGACTTTCATTGGAAGTACTCATGTGAGATATGAAGACATCTTATCTCATTCTTATAGAAACACCAGTTCTTGTTTCTATGCCTGTCTGAAAATGGATTTTATTTCCGGACACCAATTCTGAAAGTCTAGGCTGATTCTGATCTAGTCCAGGCCATGGAAGATCATACAGCAGCTCCAGTATCAAGCCCACAACTCCTGACTGAGATGAAACACCATTTAAAAAGAAATTCAGTGTTCAGATGTTGAACAACAGAATCCACCATACCTTTCAGTAAGTTAACCTAAGGAATACTTACCCTTAAAAATATATGCCTTGTTATAGGCTGTTTAGCATCAGCTTTGGTTCAGCTGATTTTGCTCTGCAGCTGATTGCCAGAATTAAAGGAATTCTAGCTTTTCCTTCTAAGCACTTTTAGATTACAATCAAATTATCACAATCTCCTCCCCCCGCCCCCAGATAAAGTAATCCTCATTATTACACTTTCAATTTTTTCAACTGCTACCCTAAAAGCAGAGTTTGTCTGTATGTTATGATCTTCAGGCTCTGTGCCAGCTTTCTCCCTTCACATTACCAGTCCTTCTTAGCACTACATTGTTTCAATTCCTAATCACACCAGTCTTTATCAATGCCGAAGTGTAAGTCACTGGTCCAAGACAACCTTTCTCAGCATATTGTCCCTTAAACAAACAGCTTTTCTGCAACTAATGACAAGAGCTCTGTGTCACAGGGTTTTGACATTGCAAATTAGCCCACTAGACATAAATACACTGAGCTTATGTGTATGTTTTGAGAATTTGTTGTGTTTTGTGCGGGATACTATTAATAGGATTAGTAAACAACTGTAGCTCTTTAGACCACAAAAACTGCTTTTCAAAAGATGTAGATTATCTACTTTCATTACTAACATAGCGAAAGACTTTACTTTGTAAGTAAATAAAATACAAGAAATACCCAGAGTGATTTCCAAATCATTTTCATATCTTAACATAAAGCCCTGAATCGTATTACCACCAGAAACCCATTTCCCCAACTAGCAGCCTTGGCCAGACTAGGATAGTGAAGTAAACAATCCATCTTCTATCTAAAAATGCCATCTCATCTGAGAGTCAGGAAACCTACTTCACAGGAGAAAAAAAAAAAAAAACAACTTACAGTCAGTAGTACCAAAGATTCTGGAAACAGTATCTTGAGAGAGCAAAGCGTACAATGAGTAGACATGTAAAATTAGACTGTTTTAAGTTATTCTCTTATTTCAGTCTTTGCTTGAGTAAAATGTTTTGGGTTTTAATACATTCTTAATTGCTGCAAGAATTTCAGATCCTTCTATTAAAATGCTTATTAGCACTACAAAGAAAAATCCAGGCTTATCAATAACATTACTGTGAGAACATCAAAGACTCAAACAAAACTGATGAGCAGATATGGCCTGCCATATCTGTAACCAACATCTTCCACTATTTATTAACCCTCTACAACTCAAGAACAATGGAATGCTTTAATCAGACAATATCCCTCAGCTAAGATTTGAGATTTTACATGAGTATGAATTGTGCCTTCATGTTAACTAAGCATTAAAGAGTGGCATTTCCTGCAACTCATTTTAGACTTCTACAGTACTAAGGCCACCTTGTTTTGGCAGAATGACAAAGATGCTAACCTAAACAGATATTTAATAACATAATTCTTTAGTTTCTAATGTATTAGAGAACATGTTTACACTTAACAGTGAGCAAGCAACCTGTCCTGTTGCCATCAACAGCATTATTCCTATTAACAAAGTAGCTCAGCCAGTGAACCGCTTAATTTTCAGGACTACATTTCTGCCGCTGCCAGAGTTACAATTTTAAAGTAACATTCCTTACCAAAAGGGTATTTTGCCAAACAACATAATTGTCACAACATTTCAGCTGGTGCATTAGAAATTTTAATTTAACATTGTCATTGTGAATTTCTTAATTTCACAGTCTCAAACTGACTCAAATTTATGGATTGTTCTGGGCTTTTTAAAACATTGCTGTGCATTTTGCTAGCTATTTCTTGCCCTTTTTTTAAAAAGGAAACAGCAATATGTCTATCATTTATATATTTTTATGTATATACAAACACACACATATATATATGTTTCTACAAGACCGGTGTCCTCCTTTCAGCAAGGAAAAAAAAAAACCTGACCCAAGACTTCCACTAGTATTCAACAAATAAATCAGGTGCCAAATAGGATTTGGTTTTATGGCATCTTTCATATCTATGTCTGAAAGTGCCTTTTAATGACTCAGTCATAAGACAGATGCTATGCTTGAAGAAATTCAAGCTAAACAAGCTAACAGAATGATTAACTATCCACTCTAATTCTGAATGCAGCATCAGCACTTGTTTGGCTGATTTGGAAAAAACATTGCTCTGGAAAAGCAACATGTTCACAGTCACAAGAGTTGAGAAACTCTAGTATAAACACACATGACAAAGAAAACATTCAAAATGAAATTTACCTCAGAGCAATGTTGCCTCGCTGTCAGAGGGTTAGGTTTGTCATGACAGTAAACAGAGCCTGCAATTGCTACAGCACAGTCTCCTTCCAGAAGATTTTGTCCTCTACATCAACTCCTGTCCCACCCAGCAACAGCTGTTCATAATAGCCAGCAGCCGACAGTGTAGAGGAAGCCCTTAATGTGCCGCCAAGGGGCAGTTTAACAGATGGCAGAGTGACATACAACCACAATCATTAATTAAACTTCCACACTAGTCCCAAGATGCAGTGCTGAAAGAACTTCCTCCAAGAAGGAACGATTCAGATAAACGACTGGCTGCCGCAGCCCCTGCACTCGCTCTAGGACGTGCAGCTGGTGCTCAGGTTCAGTCAGCGTAGTCTCATTTTACAGAGTCCTGCCCTCGTTCAAGGGAGCTACGGCATCGTCTTTCGGTATCAGCCCAATTTACGCTCCATCACAGAAGCTGTAGGCAAGAGTGGCTGTTAAAGGATGGATACCAGAAGATACTGTTTAAACTGCATCCCCTTACCAAGAAGTGGCTGGGAAGGCAGATGAGGGGCACTCATCCATACCGAAAAGAATTTTAAAAAAAAAAAAACAACCCAAAAAAACCTCCCAGCTACTTATGGCAAAGGGAGGTTAACTTTTTGGAAATGGGGATTTCATGGAAAAAAATAGCGTAAATCTGAAGAAATTTTGTTAAGTAAGCCTATTTTTCTTTAAAAAGTATTGAGTTTTGGGCCGTCCACGTGTATTAAAACATACTAGACTGAACATCAGAACAGATTTGTTTTCTCCAGACTTTTTACACCGCATTCCTACTCCTGTTTTACTCCAAATGTAAAGGTATCACCTAGAATAATTTCCCTTGAGAGAAACATATAGATTAGGAGTCAAGAGGGAGCATTTGGTGAGGCAATCGGCTTGCTGGCACAGGTGTAATCAGTACTCACTTCTAGCTTCTTCTCTTTCTCTGTCAATACATCCTTCTGATTCTGGGTGTACTCAATCAGCATGCGTGCCAGCTGGCGCCGGTCCTCCAGCTCTGCTGCCAGCCGGCCATTGTACTCTGCTAGCAACAGGCATGCTTCGTCCACGGTCTTCGAAAGACGTTCGGCTGCCTCTTTGTCTACATGCAAAAGTGTTGGGTAATTTAGAGGACGAAGTTTAAAACTTTAATCTTTGACAGAAGGGCTACAATTCACCAACCACATACACAATAGCATCTCACTCATAAATGCACTTCTGGCTTGACAGGAAAATAAGAGTTCTTATCACAGGGGATATAAAGGAAATAGGCAGGACTAACAAGCCAAGAACGGTGCGTTTTAGACATTGACATGATTGACTGCATTTTATCCTTGCAGAGATGTCAATGATTGGGGGGGGATAAATCTATGACGTTAGCCTCTATAAACAGTTTAGTTAAACTAAAACTTTAGGCTGTACTTTCAGAATTCAGTTAAACAAATCAGGCGGTTTTCACATTTAAACATTGTATGCACTTTTTAATTCCCCTTTTCCCTGAATAACTCCTAATGTATCAATACAAGCAAACACATGAATTGCACACTAGACTTCACAGGTGGACACTGTAAGAGTATATTACAAAAGACTGAATAAGTGACAGTTCATAAATTCTAAATTAAAACTACTTCCAGGAACACGAGTCAAATCAGTTCAACCTTTAAATGCTTCTATTAAGATTACTTTTCAAATACAATTGCAAAAGTCCGTTTATACAAAGACTGACAGACTAACGGCAGTAGCAAGTTTCCTCTTCCATAGCAATCAAGGAGTATGTGTGTTCTCAGCAGTCTGATAAAACTCAAAAATATCTAACAGTCAAGGTGTTCAAAATCAAAACACATCCATTTGAGAACTCTGGCCCTATTTCCTTTACATTCTTGCAAAATGCTGTTGAAGCTCTCCAAGTACAAAAGCCTTGGTCCAAACCAAAAAAATGGAAGAAGCTATGTACATTTCATCTTCAATTTTACTTCCTAAGATTGCTATCTATTAATTACCCAAGAGCCACAAAACAAGGACACAAAGGCAGAAATTCACTCCACCATACACTGTGATTATTTAGAAATCAAAGATTTTTTTTTTTCTTTAAGTTACTCTTTGGACTCATGTTCATTCATCTTCCAATTTCATACCTGTAATTTTCTCCAATAATGAAACATCTTGAACTTCCTGAGGCAGGGAGGCAATTTTTTGCCGCACTGTTGCATCTCCTGATGCTGCGTTTTCCAGGTCTTGTAGGGCTTTGATCAAATCCTCTGTCTACAAGACAAGTTAGCTAACATTAAAACCAGGTAATTTTCATGCCATTTCCTGTGGATGTGGCCACTGCATCTGAGGTCACCTACTTTTGAAAGCAACCATTTTGGGAATATTTTCTTCAAGTAATTTTTAAACTGTTGCTTCCTAACACAGGGAGTATTCACTAAGTTTACAATATCCTATTGCTTAGAAACTTATGCATAATTACAGTAGGATCATCTTTTTCAAGACTCTGCAGTGGAAAACTTCTCATTCCAATTAAGAGAAGCAATCATTTAAGACAAAGCTGAAAAGTACATGACCACACCAGTTTGAGAAACAGCCATCAGCCCTTTGTGTTTCATCAAATTGGGACTAGCAGGAGTGTACGTGCACCTTTGTTCTATTCCAAAGCTGCATTCTGACACAGGGCGGGCTGGGGGGAGGGGAACCACACACACAAAAAAAACCCCACAACAACCAAACTTGTATCAGTCCAAACAAAACTGTGTCAGACTTCCATCGATATAAGATTTAGAATTTTGTAACTGGTTGATGACAATGAAAGCTATCCCTGTTAAAGCAAACTTTATATTGTCCTGATTTTGCAAAGCCATTGCTATCCTCACTTAGCTCAGCTGGTTCTTTGGAAGCACACTGCAACCTGCAATTAAACTGGACTCCCCTGTATCCCCTCGACTTCATCTCTCAGCTGGTTTTAGTGCAGTGAGGAAAAATGTGTCAGTTTAAATGAATACACTCACAACGTACCCTAGCTTAGAAAGGATGTGGATGAGGACAGCCTTAAGAGGACCTCCCCTGACATACCGTATTTCCTCCCTACTCAAAAAAAATTTTAAAAAAGGAGAAAGACAGACTCCCTGAATAGGAAGAAAAAAATGTTGCTTCTTTGTTTTAAAAAATACTGAAGTTTTCATGGGAGGTTTTTGAAACTGGAACACTAGCCCTGTAAACAGCACCACTGGTGTTTAAGCTACATTTCAATAGTTTGAAAACTAATAAAAACACTGAAAAGAATTAAATAAATATTTTTTAACCTGAAAAATAAAGAATTCCATTACCTAATATTTACTACTTCTTTGCAAACTGCTGATTTCCAACAGTAACAAACACAATGCTTATCACCAAAAGAAACCATAAGCTGCAAGGCATCTGGAGGTAAAAACAACAAAAAACCTCACTTATTTCCTTGACAACTGTTATTTATTTTTATTTTTCAATGTTTACACTCTACCAGATGGATGGTGATTTTTTTTATCCTTTTCAGATAATCAAATGGTTTAACATATGTTCATTTTGTAGCCTTAAATGGTCAGAATGATCGTCCATTTCGTTCCTACTATTTCCACACTACTAACATGTCAGCCTCAAAATACAGTATTCAGAACTGGTTTTCCTAACCAACTCCATACAAATCTATCAAAGTTGAGCTTTTAAAAAGCTCATGGAGAGAGATGTAATACCAAAAAAAAATTACATTTTAACTCTGTTACAACTTTAGGTTTGAGAGAATACACACTGATCTTAGAAAAGAATTTAAAGTATGTTCTGTTCCTCTAACAGTCCTTCGAGATTCTTTACTGGCAGTACTACTCAGACCTTGGTTTAGACTACCTGAAATCACTCAGAAGTGGCACAGTGTTTCAATATGAAAAACGAATCTGTTCCATTTCACATGCACTTCTCAACCCCCAACTGAATTTCTCCATTAAAAGCATTTCACTTGTTGGCAGCTCCACCGTGTGGCTGTACCACACAGGAGGTGGCTTTCAGAACAACTCCCACTCTCAACCCGTCCCACATACCAGCAGTGGCCCAGCACTGGGGTCTTGGGGTGAGTAGCTCCCAGGGTAATCATCATCTTCCTCCTCTTGTATTTGCTGAAAAGTCCGCTTTAAAGACTTCTTCTCCTCTGCAACTAAAGACACATATAAGCAACTCATTTGGATACCAGATCTGCCCACCTTAACTATCTCTACTTCAAAAAAACCTGTACCAGATGCTCTGATGATTAAGCTCTCTAAAGAGAAGGATGACCACAGCTGGACTCTAATGTTGGCATCATATTCCAAACACTCAAATGCAAAACAGCAATAAAAGGTTGATTTTGCCCACACATGTATCTCTGTACATGCAAGTACAAGGATACAGTCTTCATATCAGCAGTGTGCATTGTCTACATATTTGTGCCTCCTACACTGAAAGTAGGAAAGGCAAGTAAACGTCCTATTTGTCAATAAATGGCAGGTCTTCAACCCTGCTCAGATTCTCCAGTCAACACCATGTATGCAGGTAAGGATTCCTACCAGTAGAAATGAAGCACTGATGCTAAGATACACACGGACAGAAGAATTTCAAGTTAACTTTTTGCACCAAGTATATGCTTACTGCGGTCCCACAATCAACTAAATGACTGTTGGTTATTCAACCTTCCACTCCTCCATCAAAACAAAGACTTCAGGACAGCTCTGTGAAACTAAAACACTAAGATGCGACAGCAACAACAGCAATGGGCAGAGCGTGAACCCATCTCCAAGCAGGTTACCAGTAACACTTCAGAAATGAGGATTTCATAAAGCAAGACAATGTTGGTTAAATGAACCTTAGCTTGAAACGGAAAAGACAGTTTATTTAATGAGTCGGAAGTCTTAATGCAGCCTTTGATCCAGTTACAAAGCACCCAGAAGACAACAGATCATTCTTCAGGCTTGCCACCAAAATTCGTAAGAGCCAGGGTAATTTGTAAGAAAGCTTTGGACAGAGTCTTGAGAACACCTCTTCAATGGAATCAAGTCTTGTCAAGATAATAATGGACTTCAAGGGAAACATTTTATATATACTTTGATTCACAGGAAAATCCAAGATCACTCTTGATTTAAAATGAAATCAGTCTGCCCAACTATAATGAGGAAGCAAACAGAAAGGTCTGTCCTTAAATGCACAATTTTGCCTGCCTTTTCAGGTGGGACATATGTCTGTAAAATTTTATTTTAATGGAGACAAAGTCAGAGGTGCTATACATCCTACTCCTGTGGGAAAAAGCTGAAAGACCCTTGTGAGGTAGACACAAACGCATCTCTGTTAGAGAACAGATTTACTCAATGGAAGGCAAAGAAGCACAGAAAACAGTTACCCTAAACCAAATGAATTTTTTATGCATGCTAGAGCAAAGCTACCTAGGGTAGAAAAAGGTAGAGCCTAAGTATTGTATGCATACAACTGATGTAACAGAGTGCCTGATAATCTGACTGACAAGCAAGATACCAGATCAACAAGAAAAACGGCTCCTGTCCACTGAGGTCTGCAAAAGAGACCAGCTGAGTTCAACAGGAGATGTGCAGATGACAAAATGGCCAAAGAGAGCATTTCAAGTTACATAGCCCAATACAATGCGCTATCAATGTTTATCACTTGTGTGTACTTATCAAAGTAATTAACCAACAAAGGATAAACACAAGATAATCAGTAGAAGAATGCATGACCGTAGTGCGCACAGAAGTGAAAATGGAAATGAGAACTCTGATTCAAATTGCTGAAGAGCTATACCTGCTGTGTTGCCAACTGGTCTACCACAGAACACAGTATTATGCTTGCTTATTACTCTAACACAGAGGATTCAGAATTCATTGAATTTTCCGTCTGAACAAGACCACGTGAGTTTGATTGGAAACAGTCCAAAGAAGGTAGGTGCATGAACATCTGCAGTCCTAAGCACTAGTCGCTAGCTGGTATACCTCAAGAGATCACTTCCCTGAGCATATGAATGGCAGCTGATGGGACAAAGTAGCCAGTAGACAAAGGAGCACAGACAAAGCACTCAGCTTTGAAGTAGCACTTTGGGCAGGAGTAGCATGACATAAGTGTGGACTGTTGCACTTTTTTCCTTGGCATTGGTAAACAGGGGCAGCAGAAAACCTCACTGAAGAATCCTAGAAACACCATCTCCATTTCATCAAACCAGGAAAAAACCCTCACACTTATTTTCAAACTCAAGAGCATATGGTGGAAAAGGACCCCTGAAAGAGAACAGGAAGCCAGGCATAAATTATCACACACCCTGCCTGGGTAACTTTCAAAATCTGCTAGCCAGAAGTAATTTAACCATTGCAGTCCACACTTCCGAAAAAGCCTGTCAAATCCAACAAGAGAAGAAGAAAGCAAGCGTTAAGAGTATCTAAAACTGATCAGAATTCAACAATGGTATGTAACATACATCTTCTGAAACAGTCAAGATATCCTTGTAGAATATGGACAGCTTCTTCCAGGAAAATCAAGAGCCCATTCTTGACACAGACATAAAGAAGACAGAGAAGCCACTACTAGAGATGAAGTCAGCTTTCCTGAGTCACTGGGGTCTTCTTCACAGCTCAGAAATTGAACTACTCCCTAAAGCCTTCAAAGAGCAAAGCACTTCACTTCTCCAAAATGACAGACAATTGCTGTCATAACAGCTTTGCAATGAAACTCCACGTTACTGTTACCTTGCTGTTGCAGTGTCCAGAGAGACTTGCAAAGGTATTTCTCCACCAACTTTTCAGTCTTCAAACTATCTCCGGTGGCTTCAGGAAGCTTACAGTGCCAGAGACCTTAGTGACAAAGTATGAGTTTTTCCTGTAAGCTGGCAACACGGGAGATCTTCCCATCTAACGTGTTCACCTTCTTCTCATCTCTTGACAACTGGTTTTAGAGGTAAACAGGCTTCTTTGATTTGACTCCAGGCTCATATGCATAGTAAAGAGAAATCAACTGTTTGGTTGGTTGATTCAAACCAACAAACCAACTGTTTGGTTGTATTCAAAAGGATAACTAGGAGTTTAAAACTTTGCTATTTTAAAAACAGTGGGTTTATGTGTAGTTTTTTTAATCTCAAGGCAATATAAAATTATTATCTTCTCTCATGAGGACTTGGTTACATTCATCTCCTCATTCAAGAAGCAGCCACACCGCATGGTAAGGAACTCTCCATGTAAATAATGCCTTTCACTGGAGGGAACTACGCAAAGGGTTCAGATTTAAAAAAAAAAAAAAAAAAAAAAAAAAAAAGACAAATAGTCCTTAATTCACATGAGGATTTATCAGTCTCAGCACAGCTACATCATGTGCCTTTTCTGACAGTTAAGCATACAGTTATATGACAAGTTGCATGAGCAGAAACTTCTGTCTACAGGGAAACATGCAAGGAAATCCCATTTAACAGCTACTGTAGTTGTAGAATAACAGGCAAACCTGTAAAACAGGGGTTTCTACTTCTGCAGTTCTATAGGTAACTGTTTACTTGAAAGGTAGACCAGCTGAATTTAAGTCGGTTTTTATGTGTCGGCCGGGCTGTCATCCTCGATCAGCATAACAAAAAATAAGTCTCCCAAAACTATAACTAAAACTAAACTTCTGTAGGCTGATTTAGGACAAAACACTGAATACAACAACAACAACAACAACAACAACAGAAAATAGACAGCTTTCCTACAGAAAATAGAAGACCATCACAGAACACCAGAAGAACAAAATAAGAGAAACCTAATGGCCCAGTGTCCCTCCAACTGTTCTAATCCTTTGTTTCTTTGGGGGTAGACTACTCATGGTTCTTTAAGTTCTCATTACAACATACATTTGTTGGTAGCCTCTCCTAGGTCAACCATAACTGGAATTGATCTGCTCCAAAATTATACCTAGTCCTGTCTCCAGGTGCCTTTATTTCAGTTATTCTTGGAAGCATCCCTGCCTGCTCTCCTCTCTGATGTTTTTCTCGATATTTTAATATGGGTCTGACTTCCTGTGCCAGAAGTTGCAATATAAATACAATCAGGGCAGATGGGTAGCAGTTCAGTTCTGTGTTATAGTGTGACACTCCTACATCAGAGCACATTCAAAGACTTCCTTCAACTGCTTATTACAAAGACAATGAAAAGAAAACATGTCAGCTATGTAGGTTATATTATCTAAAGGATTTTACATCAAACCTTTACAGACCTAGTTTTCCAGGCTTTAAGATAAATGGGTGGTTCTTCTCTTCCCTACTGCTTGTAAAAAGAAACATTCTAATAAAAATGAGATTGATGAGAAAGCAAATGCAAGCTTCATGAATACATTTAGAGTTAAAACAATATAAGATATCAATATTAAAAAGCTCATTTCCATGTACATGCATAGCTCCTTAAGGAACCTGAAAGACTAAAATATGGTAGTAAGCTGCACCACTGAGGAAGTCAAAACCAGGGAATATAATGCTTAGAAAGGGCGGGTACTCTTATCTGAAGGGAAAGCTTCATTATTTGTGCAATCAGTTCTGTTCCATGGCAGGAACTTAGCACATGCCGCCAACCAAATTGCTATACGTTTACCCAAGGACTTGCTACTAATGAAACAAGAAATCAGCTGCACCATTGAAACATGCACCAATAAGCTTTAAAGAGGTCTTTCCTCACTGATACAGGACCCTGCTTTATTTTGGCAAGTTTCATAACTCTACGTGTAACTGGTGCTCTGCAACCCAAGCAGAGCCATCCTGTTCAGAAAGCAGCACCTAACAGCCCAGGAATTTAAGACACTGCAATATGAAAAAGCCATAGAGAACTACCTCCACAGTCTTGCTGCTATACCTTGGGCTGAAGAAAAGAATACTCATTATCACAGCACCAGATGCCCATAAGGAGCTTCAAAACCTTGTACCAATCTAAAGATACTAATATTACCTATTTCTCAGCTGTGTCTACCTTGGATGTACACAAAACCAGGAAGCTAGAATGGTTTTGGAGGACCAGTGTACTATGGTTTTCCACTTCTATGATAAATGTTATATCTGTAAAACACAATACATTATTGTCCATCTCACTTATGTTCACCTGTTTGAAAATGGAATAGAGTTAACTACAACAAAGCCTTCTGCAACATAGTCAGTCGCCCACCAGAAACTGGACAAACACCAATTTATCTTAGGAATCCATAAGAATCCCATGTGAAACTAGCTCTTACCATTAAGAAGCTCATTTGAAAACAAGCCAGTCAAAACAAAGAGAAAAACTCAGGAGAACTCTGATGATTTTTTCAAATTTCTTTTTCTCTTAGTTTAAAAATCTCAGTTTCTTTTTTACAATGAATTGACAAGGCAGCAATATTCACACTCATGAAAAGGCCTGAACTGTTCTCTCAAATAAAACATACTACATTAGTATCTCCAACTACCCAGACAAAAACTAAGTTTCTCGCCAAGTGAAGAAGCACACACAGCAGTTCTTAAAACATTTGTATTTCTTCATTCTGTTTCCCACAGACAAAGGTCTGTTACACTTAGGAAGGGTTTGATTTTGTATAAACATTTTTAAGTTGAGAAGATAACAGTAGCAGGACTGATTGATACCACCAGCCAAAGGGAAGACAACACTGAGCAACAGTAGGTTGCCAATTCACCAGGAAATCACAGCTGTGTTTCTTGGACACACAATATCTTTTTGTTTAGATTAAAAATTAAACACTTGTGAAACACTTATCTAGGTACCTTAAATTAACAGTTTCAAACCCTCCGCTAATCAGTTCAACAGGAATTCATGCGTGTAAATTCTGGCCTTTCATGACAAACAGGTGTCTTATGCATTGCACCCAGACAACAGAAAAACCCCAATTTGAGCTATTTCAGAGACTGTACATCTTCCACCCTTCCCCTCTCCCACCACTCAGAGCAAAGACTCCCTCTGTCCTGATACAGAAGGGACAACCCCATCGGTCAGGTCAGTTGGTCTCCCAGCATTTGGGGAAAAAAATGGCAATACCTTCTGAATTAAATTATGGTAAGTTGGAAGGCCTCTGTTGTAAGCTGCTAAAGGACCCATCCAGTAATTTTGCCTGAAGAAGCATGTTAAAACACACAAAACTCCAGCCATAGATGTATGTCTTCACATGTATGTGTCTCATTAACGCTCATGCCTTCATATTAATTCTGTATTAATTAACAACTCCAGTAGACATATCTTGCTTGTTTTCACCACCTAAGGACGGCATAAGAGCACTTTACTAACGACTAAGCCAATTCTCTCAAAGTATCGCACCTCTGCGAGGAACAGAGCAAAATTTGGTCAAAGCAGCAATGTGATTTGAGCTAATTTGAAGACACTGACACTTCCTTTAGCTGCGAAGTGGACAAATATTCCCCTGACTGGAACACTCTGGATTTTTAATGACCTGCACCTTCCATAGGTTAGGCATCCTACTGCTCCTCTCTTTTCATTACAGTACTACCAGTTAAATATTTTCAGATGCTATAGAAGAAGAGGCAGTATCTCCCAAAGCAGTATAAAAGCACAGTAAATGCAAGAAGCTTATACTCAGTTTCTCACATCTGTCTCATGCAATAATAAGGTTATAACCGTGATGTTCTAACGATGTTACGTGATGCAAAGTTACTGTTTTCCCCAAATGACATCAGCTGGTATAAGAAAAAAAGAGATCAGACAAGCTTCTGGGCATATATTCCAGCCTTCAATTATTAAAAATCGTAATAAAATATAGTAATGAAAACATGAACCATATTGAATAAACCACTATAATAACCCAGCTGCCCACTCTCAGAAACGTAAAGTGGGACAATTTTAACTCTCAAGGTGGACGCAACATTTCCCTGCACCCTATTTACTTGTCTTCACATCAAAAGGCAGCCCTGGAGTGTTCTGTCTGCGCGAGCAGAAGCAGAAATTACCTGAAGTTTAGCTTACTGCCAGCCACTAGTCACAAGGCAACACACTTTCAAACTGGAACTGCGAGTTTAACAAAAATCAGACTTCCCTCAAGACAATCCCGAAGAATCTCCATGACCAGCTCTGGCAACAACTCAACTACAGGAGCCCAGGGCTCAACTCCTCACAGTACTTTCAGTGAAACATGTACCAATTTAGAAAACAAAGTAAAGCACACAACAAAAGCAATATGCATTTACCTTTAGTTTGGGGGCTATTGGAGTCTTCCATAGAAAGTTTCAGTTGCTGTATGAACTCACTGCCATACACACTCCTTTCTTGCCAGATGTTAAGCAATCGTTCCAAGGGCTTTTTGCAGCCCTCATCTGCTTCTCTGTTCAAAGATTAGAAAATAATTATAGTTCAGCTAAAAAACATTCCTTGTATTTTAAGAAAGCATCTTCCAAACTAGCAGCTGCATCCATTGTAATATTTGCACATTTGGAGAGAATCGTTCTCGTATTATCTGAGACAAACTGTGCAAAACACATTTGTGGCCAATTTTCCCCTTTTATTGGAACCAAAGATTGCCTGAAAGTGCCCCACATTCCCACCCCAAAGTGAAAGCAGGAAAAGCTTCCTTTTTGAAGAAGAAACTTGCTATCATTCAGAATTTGCAAGAAGAGTTATAAAATACCCCCAAGTTGACATGTTTACAATTCAGAGTATTAACTTTAAACAGTTGTTTCAGTCAATAACATCCCAATTAAAAAGCATGTTGTTTGGATCATTAGGCACTTAAATGTACTCATATAGCGCACTGAAAGTTAGACAGACATCCAGAACAGCATACCACTAAACACACAAAACATTAAAGTTGTTTAGTTGAGATAATAGGAATTATTATGCTATTTAGAGAAAATCTTAACTAAATGACAGTCCATTTTTGATAGGATGGTAGCTGCATCACATCATCCCTTTTATGTATAAAATTCTTTCTTCCCCTAACAAGGAGCCTAATGACCAGATAACCGTTAAAACAAGCAATGCAAAAAGAAACCGAGCTCAAACCAGAAGACTGACAAGAATCCAGTGACCCACAATATCAGCTCTTTTAAAGTCTTCTGACAATGGAAAAGAGCCATTCATTATGTGGCTTTAATAAACACATGCAACTATTCAATTTCACTACCCACGAACAGATCCACAAGATCTTTTGGTAACAATTAAAATAAAGTACATAGGACTTGCATGCAGAGAACAAATGTGTAAAGCTGTGAGGGGCTAATTCACATACAAACAAGTTTCCCCAAAGAGAAATATTAACACTAAAGAGTTCCTAGCCGCAAAGTAGTCAGAATCCAATCTCTGCTAGAGAGAGGGTACAAGCATCCCTGAGACTTAAAAAAAAAAAAACAAACCAAAACCCAACAAAATCCAATTGAATTCAACTCTGTATAACAAAAATGCAAATCTCTAGAGAGGAAAGTTGAAGAAATACATAACACAGCAACATACCTGGCAACATGAGAAAAAGCATCCACAAGAACAGATTCAAATTCCCTAGTAAATTCAGGACCTTTCCTCTTACTGTTCTGGATGACATCGTTTGCTAAATATAGGAAAGTAAGTTTCCTACTCGATTTTGCTGGGAAAGGGAAAAAAAGGAAGAAAAAAAAAAAGAGAGAGTTTGCATTTATTTCTCACTTCTTTCACCTGGAATCATCAACTGGTTTTCAAAGTTGCTTATAGGTTTTTAGCCTAAAAACAAAGTTTGAAATATTTCCATGTTACCAAGGCAAATCAGAGGCCTTCAAGTCAAGTAGTTCTCCATCTCCTTACTTTTGCTCAGCTTTTTTCTAACTAATTTATAAAACAAATATGAGGTTAATACTTTTTGTGCACAGTGACACATCAACTCTGAGGAAAGCTGCGTAAGAAATAAACTTTAAATGCATGATTAAAACAAGCTGTTCTAACCTAAAAGCAAATTAATGTGACAACAGACTTATTTTTCATTAATTAACTTCAGGAAAAAAACTTGGTATAGAACCACTTAATTCAGAACAGAGTGAAATTGCAGGAGAAAGCTATTGTGGAGACTCAAATATTTTTCCAGCCAATGCTGTGCCAAAGCAACACTAAATTTCTTCCATATACCATAACTTTTCCCATCTTGACTCCATGAGTTTCTATTTTACTACGGGCAGAATTGGTGGAAGACGCTGTTCTCCAGAGTGCGCTGGCCACGAATACGCACGCACAAGACAGAAAACAAAAGCGGTTATTTCCACAGCAGGCCAAGCTCAGATCTTTAAAAAATTCATACTTAGTATACTGTAAATGGCAACAACTAGCAATCACATGAAAGACTCCAGCTAGGATTTCATCAGTGTCATCCACTCCAAGGGGCTAACGCTGCCGGCTGCCCAGGATGAGAAAGGTGACATTGGCTGGTTTCACAGCTGTCCCTGGGGACAGAGCATCAGCACGGACACTGGCAGTCTCCCTAACTTCATTATGAAGCATTTATGAAGTTACCAGAGGTTAACTTAACTTAATCTGCAAAGAAAAAAAGCACAAAATATTTCTGGATGATACTACCACACAGTTTTTATAGACCTCTACAACCATTTTTACCCTGTTTATCTCCTAATCCCTTAGTGCAATTTTATAATAGATAAGTAGTACGAACTCAAAACCAAAATTTAAAAGCAAAATCTAAAAGCTGAACGGCCAACAAAGCACATCACGGTCAGCTTGAGTGCACGCAGGGGACGACGCTTGGTACATCTGTTTTACAACCAAGCTGCCTGGCCCAGCGAAGCAGCCTGGTCGCGCGTCCCCGTCCCCCCCCCAACTAATGCTTCACTATTTTCACCCGCGTTTTTACCCTGTCTTCCTAAACACCACCTTTAACAGCAGCACCACAACGCACACACCCCACGTACTTGTGCGCGATTTTCGCTACGAAGTTTAATAAATAATCACAACAGCAGGAGAGCGGCGTCCAGGCCCCGACGCTCCCGTTA